GCATCTCCAACTGCCTTTGATTGTCACATGTTAAAACATTATTAAAACATATGGCACATTACAAGTTACCCTGCATGATCGTGCGACCACAAAATGCAGGCAAATTGTATACCATCCTAGTCATCAATGGCACTGTCCCTATCACTGCTAAGCAAATATACACACACATGTCTGCATTCATAATCCTCTTGAACTACAAACTCATTTTGTGGAGTCCTCAGTCTCCATAGTCTCCTCTATGCTCATGGATGAGGCCCTTCTTTGTTGTTTTGGTGACTCTGTGGAACATTGAGCATGTTGCTGTGAAGTGGCTTGGTCCTCCATTTTCACACTCTGTTTCACAGCTTCGTAACAATCCGTTGGGACCACTATGAAAGGGCGTGGTCACACCATGCGGTCCTTCGATTGTTCATCAGACGCCGTCAGGAGTGTGTGTCATCCGAACCAACCAATTGATCGTCCGTAGGTAAGTGGATTTTGTCATGTCAGCATCCACAGTGACAGCGAGAACTTGTCATTCCTTCCTCACTTTTTGATCCTCTGTTTGGGACAACTATGGATAGCATTTTCATCCAAAGAGACAACATATTTATTATACAGTGGGGCAAAAAAGTATTTAGTCAGCCACCAATTGTGCAAGGCCCAAAACTGTTAGAAGTATGTAGTGATACTTCAAACATGTAGTATGTATGCACATTTTTCCGCATGCATTTGAAACACTTATTTTACGCTTTGTGCCACCTGATTGGTTCCTGCAACCTGCTTATCCCACACATGAATGATGGAAAAAGCAGAGCACAAGTAGACTTGCGGATAAAGAGAACTTATTTTTGCATATATTCAAATTTCTTGTCTTCCACGTTGTAGCTTGTTGACAAAGTGACGCAGGGCAACCATCATAAATTTTGGGGCACCTTACACAGCTTTAGGCCTGGGCCCCGCCTCCGCACCGTGCTGGACTCTGGGCTTGTTTATCAAACAAGTATTTTTAGTAGGGATGCACAGATACTTTTCGAGTACCAGTGCAGATACTTGGCATTTTCATGAGAACTACCAGGGTTGCAGCAGTTGCAGTTGGGACCTAGCTGTGGAGCTCCACCACTGTCCTGAAATCATTAGTCTGTATTGTTTTAGAAAAACTGTCACATTACAATAAACAAAAATGTATCAGCACTCGTACTTGTAAGTACTCGGCAAGTATCAGTACTCATACTCGCAAAACTGGTATCTGTGCATCCCTTTATTTATGAAAACAAAATCGTACATTAAAACAGAGATGTACTAATCCCAGGAGCTCTGTGTGCTCCTTACAAATGACAGCTGCCTCCTAATTTTTGAATTTTTCTCTAGTCTAGTCTTGTAGCTCAAAAGTATCGGTACTTGTCTAGTCAGTGCTGTAGAGTCCAGTTGTGGATATGCTGCATATTTTTTGTTCATGCCCCGCTCTCCAGGCTTTCTGGGATCAGGTTCATGGCCTGACTCAGAGATTTGTGGACAGCACGATCCCTCGGGACCCGGCCTTCTTTCGTCTACATCATAACTCTTTCCCTTTGAAAACCGACAATCGCTCTATTGTTTGACACCTGGTCAATGCTGCTTGTGCTTGCATCCTGGCCTTGTGGAAAAATCCTGCTCCTCCTACTGTGCAACACTGGCTTGCTTGTATTCATGATATTTGCATTATGGAGGACCTTTAAAAAGTTTTAACAAAAATACCACTGAAAAATTTAGGAACGGGAGGAGTTTATGTACGCCTCTACGCCCATGACGCTAACTCGTGCTTTGGGGGTGGGTTAATCCTTTACTCTGTCCTTTCCCCTTTTTGATACTTTTTCTTACCTTCTCTTTCTGTTCTTTTTCAGTCTCTTGTCGTTTCTTTTTCCCTTTCTGCCCTTTTCTGAGTACCATCCTTTATTTTTCTTTTCCGCTGATTTTGTTTTCCTGACTCATTGCTGTATTGCCCATGAACATTTATTCAACGAGTAGTTGGCTCCCCTCTCACTATATGGTGTTATTTACCCCACTATCCTTGCTGTAACAAGTATCGCTGAGCGGGTTGCATGGATGCCTTCTTTCTGTCTTCCATTGTTCTCCCATTTACCTGACTGTTCTGCGCTTTCATTTGTTTGTTTTTCTTCTATTTGTTGTTCATTTCTTTTTTTTAAATGCTTAAATAAAAAAATCAGTTATACTCCTCTGTTTCAATTAAACATCTACCAATGTATTCAATGTTAGTTACAAAGACTCAGATTGATGATAATGCCAATGTTCCCATAGCCACAATAAAAAAATATGATTATTATATTAATATTTAGGTGGTTGATTTAACAGATTCTGCATAAGATATAGATATAATAATCTAGATATAATACATTTTAATTCAACTTTTTTACCTTGTTTCTGTGAAGATTTCTACCAGTCCATCTCTTAAAACATCTGTCCAAATAATCTTGTCATATATTTTTTTGTAACAAAGTGTTTTTTGTTTTTTTCATGAAACAAACAAGACGTTTTACATAGGTTTTGGTGACAGGTATCATTCATACAGTGAAATATGATCAATAAAGAGCAAATTGGTTACAGGCACTATGTGATAGGATATCCGTGGTAAACAAAAGTAAAAGGAGGAATAAAAAAAGAAGAGGGGATAGGAAAAGAAAAGTAAAAGTCAGATAGAGAGTCCATCGGTGTAGGCATTATCGGTTTTAATTTAAGGTTGGTTCAAGAGGTCTGCAGTCAGTTCAAGAGGTCTGCAGCCTCGCGTCACCCAAGGAGCCTCTTATAGGTGTCTAAGAGAGTTTCCATATTCAATTCAGGGTGTTGGTATAAAATCCAGGGCTTCCAGACATTTAGAAACTTGGTATGGGACAATATTATGATAAATGAAAGATTATCCTGTATACTAATATTGTCTAGTCTCAGAGTGAATTCATGGTATGGGATGAGTTGTTTTTTCCAATTGCTTGCTAAGGTCGATTTGGGTGCAAGAAATATTTGATCTGCCAGAGAGCCCTAAAAATATATGATAATTATATTTATATTTAGGTGGTTGATTTAGGTGGGGTCTATATAGGGATGTGGGTATCAAATAGACAGGATAGTAAAACGGTAAATCCTAGTCCAAAAACGGGGCGCAAATGAACGAGTCCACCAAATGTGGAGCATATCTCTAGGAAAGGTGCACCCACGGAAACATGCAGTGGACGAGGTTGGAAATATTTTACCCAGACGGGTAGGGACTAGATACCAGCGAAAAAATACCTTATATGCCACCTCCATGTTAGTTACTTTAAGGGAGCATCGAGAAATATTTCTCCACACCCTTTCTCAATCGTCATCAGTCCAGTTTAGTTTGCTGTCTATGGCCCATTTAGCGGGGTAAGAGTGCAGATTAAGATGCGTCAGGGAGTTAAGTTTAGAGTATAAGATTGACACCAATTTGGGCCCACCAGAGGAGTAGAGTCATACATGTTCAAAACAAGTAAGTGGTTTATTCGGGGTACTTTTTTTGTAAGGAAGACACCCAATGTTGTATTTGTAATAGGGTTGCACAGATACCAAGTACAGTACTCGGTACAAGTACGAGTACATGTACTGATACTTTTGAGCTCCAAGACTACAGTAGAGAAGAATTTAAAAGTTAGGAGGCAGCTGTCATTTGTAAGGAGCACACGGAGTTCCTGGGATTTGTACATCTCCGTTTTAATGTATGGTTTTGTTTTTATAAATAAAAGGGATGCACAGATACCAGTTTTGCGAGTACGAGTACTGGTACTTGCCGAGTACTTACAAGTACGAGTTCTGATACATTTTTGTTTATTGTCATGTGACAGTTTTTCTAAAACAATAAGGACTAATGATTTCAGGACAGTGGTGGAGTGCCAGAGCTAGGTCCCAGCTGCAATCGCTGCAACCCTGGTAGTTCTCATGAAAATGCCAAGTATCTGCACTGGTACTCGAAAAGTATCTGTGCATCCCTAATTTGTAAAAATCGGAACAGTTCTGTATCGGGGATCTTTTTGTGTTCTTTAAGGTATGACCAGGTGAGGACAGAAGTATTGCAAAAGAAGTAGCCCGATGCCGCACCCATTTTCACTTCACCATTTAAATAGATCCGGGTTAGCATATGCAGGGGGCAATAAAGGCTGTCAAAGGACAGGGAGAAGGGGCAGGTAAGCCCACTGAATATTTCAGGGAATCATGTCATATATTTAAGCAAAGCTCAACTAGTGTGTTAATTTAGACAAAGGCATTGGCAATGTTTCTGATGTTGGTAAATAGACCGTTTACCTTCCAGATACCTATTACTTGGCAAATATCTCAAAATATAGTACTTGGCAAATATCTCAGGTGTGTTCTTTTTATCTTATTACAAGCCAGTGTTTAGTTTTCTAGTTCTAAAGTTTACAGACAAGGTTCTTTTGAGTTTGAAATTTACTTGTGACCTGATCTCTTTAAGTTCATACAAATTTTGTATGAAAAGTTCTGACAGATGTCACTGCACCTTGTCCAATCAGAGAATGCTTGTATTCATTGTTGAAAAAACAAATACTAGGCATTCTCAGAATGTCCTCTGTACCAAGTGAGTGACTTCCTGTGTTTTCGCAGCAGAGAGGAAGTTGCTCAACACAGCAACATACAGGACTCAGAACATCGCTATAAAGCACTGTTTTCGCTCCAGCCTCTACAGTGTTTTACAGGTATAAATATATTTACATTAGGCCAAGCATACAGAAACATTTATACCTGGAGTCCAGCTTTAGGGCATTGTATTTTTTCATAGTTATAGGTCTTTATCAAACACTGCTGTAAAGCATTCCGGAGCCATTTGCTTCTAGACTCTCATTCCACTGTTCATACATGTATATTATTTATAAATAGATAGTAAGAAGATGTCGGCTGTTTATATAGTTAGAGGAATAGTTGACTATGTTTAGATTAGGGGTCATCATACTTGTGGCACTAGCTAAGCAACGGTTATTTACTGTTTTCTTTTCAAGGATGCTCCTGTTAAAAAGAAAAGACCAGCAGTAAAAGAAGAAGATCTGAAAGGGGCAAGAACTAAACTTGGTCAACAAACTCCTATCAAGTCCAAAACATATCAAGTTATGAAAGAATGTGGTGAGTCTAAGTATGGTATTGTGCAAGATCACATTGAGAAATTTTATTTAGCCAGTTGCCGTCCGCCCATTGTAAAAACACGGCGGATTCTTCACAGCCGGTGGACTTACATGTGTATGTATGTTTTTCCCTACTCGCGCATGCCCCTTAGAAGAATCCTGCTGGGAATGTAAACAGCTAGTATCGCTTGTATGACAACATACAGGGTGCACGACATCCATTGCCGCGCCACTCTCAGCTGCTGTGCCCCCCTCTGCCATCGGTCCTGGGTTATCCCGGGCTCCGCTATCCCTCCTGCTGGCCTTGGACTAGTACACCAGCTGCCTATACTGAGAACGGAGGAGAGATCATCATTCTCCCACTGCTGAACTCTCCTGCTCTCTCTCTAAAGGCGGGAGCAATGTGTATTACATTACTTACGCCTTTAGCTGCTATTTCTCTGGCTGCTATGGCTATAGAAGAAGCTGGTGAAGCAGATCTCTGCTTCTTCAGCTTCTTTGGGGGTGCCAAAGTGACATTAGGGGTCCATAAAGAGGACCTGTCATTGTATATTACCTATCACATAGGGGGCTTGTTATCCCCCTTACATTTTTTTGGGGTGTTTATTTTTTTTTATATGAAACGTTCATTTTGTAAAAACTTTTTTACACTTAAAACAGGTCCTCCTTACACTTAAAACAGGTCCTCCTTATGCTAATAAGGAGGACCTGTTTTAAGTGTAAAAAAGTTTTTACAAAATGAACGTTTCATATAAAAAATTTTTTTTGATTTTTCAGCAATCACCGCTGCGGTACTTTGACTGACATTTATTCCATCATGCAACGCTGTACTAAAATTAATTTTGTACCATTTTTTAGGGACAGACAGAGCTTTCTTTTGGTGGTTTTAATTTTTTACTATATAATGAAAAAATAAAATTTTGAACAAAAAAACCTGTTTTCCCAACGTTATGTTATAAAACATTTATCGGCACCAAATTTTTGGGTAAAATACTAAAGATGGGGTCACTTTGGGTAAGCAGATTACAGTCCATGTACCCATTGCACTCCTGACCGCACGTCCAACAAAGTATCCTGGGTGCTCAGTAGTCGACGGATGGCCACCGTCAAAGTAATGCAGAAAAGAAATAGACACCGGCACTCCAATAGTAAATCGATTACGTCTATTTATTGACGTACATCAAAAGCAAAATAACACACTTAGTGCGACGTTTCGGGGACACACAGGAACCCCTTCATAAGTGTGTTATTTTGCTTTTGATGTACGTCAATAAATAGACGTAATCGATTTACTATTGGAGTGCCGGTGTCTATTTCTTTTCTGCATTACTTTG